GGCTCACAACCATCTGTAATGAGATCTGGTGCCCTCTTCTGGCCTGCAGACATACATGCTGTATACATAATAAATAAATAAATCTTTTAAAAAAAAATAAATAAGATGCAGGACAAACTCTGATATTCAGGCTTTGTGGGTGAGTAGCAGCTAGCCCTCTGGGACCCTCTTTACCTGGGCAAGAGCTTCTCAAGCTCACTAGATTCCAGAGAAATTAAACTCAGTTGGTTTGCAACCTCTCTCCAGGATGTAGAGGAATAGAACCAAGGACGGAGACAACAGCCAGTTCACAGCATTTTCTCAGAGTCCACCTGTGGGGCCTGGGATTCAGCTCCTTGATGAGGGGATATTGGTCTCCTAAGCTTCCCCAAGTAACTTTGGAAGCCCATAAAGCTACCCCAACCCTGGGTACAAGAGCCAGAAGCAGAGGTGGGGGGCTAGAGTATGGTTCAGCTGTTAAGAGTGCTGGCTGTTCTTCTAGAGGACCCGGGTTCGATTCCTAGAACCCACATGGTGGCCTACAAATGTCCATAACTCCTTTGGGCTTCGGCAGGCATTGGGCATACATGTACAGAATACCCATACACATAAAATGAAATTTAAAAAGCAAGTATGGGCAGAAGGCAGGTAAGGGTATAGGACACTAAGATTGGCATGTGGGCTTATACATGGGATAGGTGTACCCTGGGGAGTCAAGTGTACATCTAGGTGAGAAAAGCGACTCACCAGCCTCCACTCTGAGCGTCTGGGTGCATATTCAGAACTCTCCAGGCCGTTTCCCTGTGGACTGCTGTCAGGTTTCAGTCCCCATATATGTAGATGTAACCCACAGTAATACACAGAGGCAAGTTGGAGGTGGCTGCAGACCTGTGCAGACTGTAGAGACCACATCCAGCCTCCCTCCTCCTCTCCTTGCAGGGATGCCCTGGATGCTCTGGGCCTGAAGCGCTACTGCTGTCGCCGCATGCTGCTGGCACACGTGGACCTGATTGAGAAGCTGCTCAACTATGCCCCCCTGGAGAAGTGACTGCCGGAGCTTCCTGTCCTCCTCTGCTGGCCATGGGCAGTCTGTCACACTGAGTTCAAACTGAGGTGTTGGGGAGGTGGGCGGGGTGCCTGGCTGTGACCAGGTCCCCTCACCCTGGAAGAAACGGTTCAGTAAAGACCTTTGCAGAGCCACCAGCCGGTCTAACTTTGTAAGGTTCTCAACATCATGCCTGTACTGCCTTTGAAGTTACCTGGCCTGGTTCGTCTTTCCCCCAGGGCTGGTCTCCTTCCTCTCATCTGGCTTGGGGGTCCAGTCTTGTGGGGAGCCCCTTGCTTCTGTTTCTCTGGGCCTTGACCTGTTTGATCCACTGGCTAGCCTTACAGTGCAGTCTTGCACCTCCTTGCTGTAGGGCCTCTGCTCTCCCTGCCAGTGTTCAGGATGGGCAGGGTAGACATGGCCACACCGTCCACAGGCAGGGCCCAAGCCTGGGAGGATGCTCCTTTGGAATGCTGAAGCGTGCTTGGAGGCCCACCCAATGTCTCACCGACGTGCTCTAGGGATTCTTTTTTATGTGTCTGCTGTTTTTTCTGCTTGTATGTCTTTGCGCCGCTTGTGTACCCACAGAGGCCAAAAGTTTAGACAGTATGAACTGCCACGTGTTCTTTTTGTTGTTGTTTGAGACAGGGTTTCTCTGTGTAGTCCCGGCTATCCTGGAACTCAGTATGTAGACCAGGCTGGCCTTGAAACTCAGAAATCCACCTGCCTTCTGCCTTCTCAGTGTTGGAATTAAAGGTGTGTATCAGCCGGCAGTGGTGGCGCACGCCTTTAATCCCAGCAGAGGCAGGCGGATCTCTGAGTTCAAGGCCAGCCTGGTCTACAGAGCAAGTTCCAGGAAAGGCAGAAAGGCGCAAAGCTACACAGAGAAACCCTGTCTTGGAAAAAAAAAAAAAAAAGTATGTATCACCTACCAAACCCAGATATTCTAGAAAAGCAGCCAGTATTCTTCACCTCTGAGCCATTTCCAACTCCTGAGTATTCCTGAGGCCACAAGCTCATGCCCTGTCCTCCAGAATCCAAAGAACCAAGTCCTGGATCCTAAAGAACATTAGCCGTGAGCCTATCTGCTACCCATGCCTGAGGATCTTGTTTCCAGAATCTTCCCAGACCCAGCAGCTAGGCATCTCTGCCCTTTAACCCAAATCCCACAGGAGTGGGAAAGTACCCGGCACTAAGAAACCTACTCGAGGCCAAAGGAGGTCCTTTTAAGGACCTGGCTTCTGGGTATTTGCATTAAACGTCCCAGGGTTCTTTTTAGCGCATTGATCCCTCTTGAGATTTTTATTGTTTGGGGTTTTGTTTGAGATAGGGTCTCACTTATGTAGCCTTGGCTGGTGTGAAACTCACAGCAGTCCGCCTACTTCTGCCTCTCTTGAGTGCTGGGATTAAACGTGTGGTGACCACGCACACGCTAGTTTGTTTCCAGGGGAGGTTGAGGTTTTTTCAACCCAGGGTTTTGGAGCCTGTCTTGGAACTCTCTCTGTAGACCAGGCTGGCCTCAAACTCACAGAGATCCGCCTGGCTGTGCTTCCCAAGTGCTGGGATTAAAGGCGTGCGCCACCACCGCCACCCACCCAGCTGCCACACTAGTTTTTAAAGAGGAAAACAGCTTTGCCTTGGGCTGAAGCCCAGGGGGGCCCCAGGACCCCACTCTTCCAGCTGCTACTAAACAGCATAGGACTGTTGGGGACAGAGAATCAGCTCTTAGGGTACATTTGTGTGTCTTTGAGTATGGGCAGTCTTTGCCTGGCTAAGTCCAGGCCACAGTGAGCTGGAGGCTCTCCAGCTACCAGAGGTCAGCCTAACTGCCTCTGCCATGGGGCTTCACCATCCTTGACTCTTCTGAGTACTCCAGCTACCCTGGACCCTAAGGTCCTGTCAGCAAGCTGACTCGACTGTTTATACATTTATTGAGCACCTGTCACATAGCAGGAGCACATGTGGGCATCTGGAATACAGCAGTGGATGAAAACAGCCGTGCCCCATTCAGAGATGTTCCAAAAGGAGACAGTGTACAGGAACGTGGGGCATTTGCATGGTGTTACCAGAAGTGGGCAAAAGCCAGGGCTGAGGCTGTTAGGAGCAAGAAAGGCCTGGATGGAGAGGACAAGGCATATACTGTGGGGTTGTGGTTCCCCTCAGCTTGCCCCATTAGTTTGGGGTAAGCAGATCTGAGGGTTCCCAGCAGCAGGCATGAAAGGTACCTAGCCCACCCAGAACGGCCCCTCCCCACCTGCTTCTACCCACCATGCAGGTGGTATGCCCAAGTTTTCTCCAGACTTATTACAGATCACAGCTACCCAAAGAAAAGTAGCCTGTGGGCAAGAGGCACTTTTGTCAAACAATCTAAACCCTATTCTACCAGCTAGGTCTAGCCCAGCACTGGCAGCCGGCCTCTCTCTTACGCTGGGACAAGTACACTGCCTCGCGCCTTGGGACTTTGGTATGCAGTGAAAGGCACTTGGAGCTCCCCCAGAGGTGGGGTCGCCAGGGGTCGGGATGGCATGAGGACAGCTTCCTCCGGCAGTCAGCAGTCTAACTCAGTAGTACTTTGTAGTGGGATGGGACACAGTGCTGGGCTGGCAGCCCGGCCTGGCACCGCGGTCAGTAGTGCTCCAACTTGAGGCTTCTGTACAAGCAGCAGGTGAAGATCATGCCGAAGACCTGCGTGGGGACAGGTTGGTGTAAACGGCTGTGGGCCACTGGCCACCCCAGTGTTCCCACCTAGTCACCTCCACGTTTCCGCACCTGCACACAGGCGATGCCGAGGCCCACAGCCCCGATGACTCGCAGGTGCTCCTGAATGAAGGTCTCCAGCTTACTGATACAGCCACCCTAGTGGGGAGAGAGTGGTGGTGGACCTAGCTGGCTCCCACATGCGGCCCTGTTGGACCAGGTACCCAGTCAGTCTGGCCCCTTCCTGAGCACCCACCTACCTCCACTTTATAGATGTTGGAGGCATGGTCCCGGCGCCCGCAGCCAGGTACCACAGTCTTACAGCAGCTGTCAGGAACCACACGGTTGCTTGCCTCACCAGAGCGGATCCACTCACTGTCTCGCCAGTCCTGAGAGTTGTTGCTGCCACAGCAGTGGAACTACAAGGAATATGTGGCTGAGCCCTCCAGCCTGCCAGCACATAGCACCATGCTGGGAAAGTGGGGAGCTGCAGGGGGACACCCACCTCTTGCTGCAGTTTGTCTACGGCATTGGTCACACCCTCCTGGCCTGACTGTTGATATCTCTTGATCATGGTGTCCTTCAGATTCTCCTTGAGCTCTGTGTTCAGCTGTGGGTAGGATCAAAGTCTGAAACCGCCCACCCCACCCTCAGGGCAAAGCTAAAGTCAGGACCCCCACCCCACCCCCTCCGTGGGACTGTCAGGACTAGAAGAGACACCAGACAAGAACAAGGCCAGCCTGGAATGAGTGACACTCTCAATCCTATGAATACCTCCCTCCCGCAAAAGTCCCAAGTCAGCCCTGGGATCTACCTGCCTGTGTGCACACCTGTTCTGGACTTACCCCATGGCCAGTTCAGGCCCTTACCTGCTGGTAATAGACATAGGCCAGGATGCCGGCAATGATCTCCAGTAGGAAGATGATGAGGAGCAGGATGAAGTACTAGGAAGCAGGGACCCAGTGAGTTGGGGTTCCTAGTACCAGAGCACCACAAAGCAAGTCCCAACCCAAGAGGCCAAGCAGGAGGAATCCAATTAGCAGCTACAGACTGGGGCCACCTAGCTTACATGGATCTGGTCTATGCCCTCAGCTGGTCCAGCTGGGGGATGCCCTAGTAAGTTCAACAGGGACAGCCCGCAGTAACATACTTAACCAGAGTCAAGCCTCAGAACCACTATCAGAGGCCCCTGAGAAACCCATGCCAGGCACCCCCAGCCCCACCACTCCCACCATGTGCCACCAGGCCCTGCTGACCAAGCGTAAGAGATTCCGTCGCTCCTTGAAAGTGGCACAGCAGCCCAGGACTCCGGTCACCATGACAACAACACCAGCCACCACTAAGATGTAGGCTGTGGCTAGGTAGGTGCTTGAAGCCAGCAGACTAATGTAGTCACTCTTGAGGGCCAGTGTCCAAATGCCCACTGCCATGACAGCCAGGCCAGCCAGCTGCAGGAAGTATGTACTGGTCACTACATCTGGCCCGGGTCTGGAAGCTGGGGACAAGCCCCTAGGCCAGGCCTCCAAGATGAGGAAGAATGGGGATGTAGGGAGAATGCAGCACTTCCTACCCAGAAGCAGCAGTTGTAGGTGAACAGCAGGTACTTGAGGCAGACCGTGCCACATGTTGCCTTCTTCTCATTGAATTCACCCATGCTGGGCCTGCAGAAACATGGAGGAGGTCAGATGGCCTGAAGCACCAGGCCTCCAACTAGGAAGCTAAAAACCAATGGGGGCAGGACGGGATGCAGCAATTCCCAGATATTTCCAGAGTTTGGAGCTCAGCCAGCTGTCGGCCTTTAGAGGAGCCTTCCCAGGAACCATATATGAGTCACTTCCTGGACAAAGGATCAGGTCTAACACCCCTCCTCACAGCCAGACACCCATATTGAATTGTCATGGAGGACCCCCAACCTGCTTGCTGACTCACTCCTGCTGGCAACTGGGGGGAGGGGGGAGCCCCAGCAGACCTTCAGGATGCATTCCTGTGGACTGCCACCCCCACAGCATTCCCTGAGCCCCACATCACCACCGGCTGATTGCTTAGCACTAACACCCCAGATGTGGCAGAGAAGCAAAGAGCTCAGACCGACCTCAGGTAAACAGTGAGGGCTCTGAGAGCAACCTCTCTACTCCCAGCCTGGGCAGGGACAATAGAGGTGCCGGTAGGTGGAGCCTGCACCATCAGCTCCCCTCTGGGCTGTAGGAGGAGGCCATAGACGTGGATGGCCATTCCCCCAAAGGTCCTCTAGGCACATCCTTCCCTAGACACCAGTGTCTGCACTATGGATAGTATGCAGTGCAGACCTCAGCTGAGCACCCCAGGTCAGGTTTCTAGACAGGCGTGCACATGCAGGGCTTTTCACCTGCCACCTGCAGGCTCTGCCCACGCACCAGCACTCACCTCTATATAAGTCAGAAGGACCAGCAGGTACAGGTCAAACGTCAGTGGTCTGCCCTTCACCTGGCAGGTAGGATCTTGCCACTCCTATGGTGGCTGAAGCAGTGGTCAGAATGATTTCCACAGACACCAGATCTAGAAGCAGGCGTAACAGTCAGGCCTACTATTTTCTTCTGGACCAGGGTGGGGCAGAGGACATTGCTGGCCAGCCTGACCTAGGGAGGGACCAAATGCCTTCTCCAGGTGCCCCACCCTCCAGGCCCATCCATCACTGTCCCTCCCCCACCAAACTGCATCAACTGTCCACTCCTTGGGGTGGAAGAGATTACAGACCTCCATTTGGAAATAGGACCCAAATACACGCTGCCTCACTGAAGGAGGGGCATGACACAGAGACCCGACCACATCGCAAGCCCCGGGGCCAGGCTCTAAAGGCCCAGAACCTATGAAGTGCTGCTTCTGAACACATCCATCAACCTAAGCCAAGGCACAATCAGCGGAGTGAATGTTAATTTCCTGAGAAAGGGCCTGCGTGGGAGCCGCGACCAGCCAGAAATAGCTCCTGAGGCCTGGACACAACCGCCCTACAATCAGCCCCTGGACTTCTTTCTCCTGCGCCCTCGATGGCACTCGGCACCCGCCCCACCGAGAGGACAGGGCATTGAAGGCGGCTAGGCAAGGAATCCCCGCGTCACTGAGATGAAGTCACCACAGCCCCTTACCGGTCCCCCCTCCCCCGCGTGCCGATGGGTGAACCTGCGGTCTCAGGGGAGGGAACCGGTGTCCAGGGACAATGAATAGGGTGATCAGACTTTGACTTTCTGGGTTTCTGCATGAAAGGGATCGCCAGGCCTGTCCAAGAACCACAGAGGCTCTCTCCCTGCCCCCTCCACTTCTTCCTTCCCGCCCCGTTGTCGATCTTCCGGAAAGGAGCCTGCAGCCGTGTCCTACCGGCGCTGCCTCCTGGGCGTCCCCGAGGCCAGCGGTGAAGACTGGGGACACTGGTGCGCGAGGCACTCGGGACACTGCTCCCCACACCCTGCGGCCTGGCTCCGCGGATCACTCACCAACCACACTTTGGAGTATCAGCCCCTGCCGCGACCGTAGGAGGGATTGCTTGGAGTGCTGAGAATGCTCGGCCCGGGGCCTACGAGGACACGCCCCGTGCGCGACCCCGCCCCGCGCGAGCCCCGCCCACGACCGGCCTGGGCTGGGCAAGTCCCAACTGGATTGGTGCTAGGGCGCACCGAAGACCGCGCCGCACGGCGAGACCTGGGGACCTGCCCCGTCTGTGGGGCCGGAAAGTTAGCTTGAGGGCGCCGGTGGTCAGCAAGACTCCCCACTCACCCAGAGACAGAGGAGCTAGGCGGGAGGCAGACCCCGGGTGGTGACTGGAGAGGTGGAGAAGGTGGCACCCAGCCCACCAGAGCCCAGAACTGAGCCCAAGACCAAATCCTCCTCCAGTCTAAGCCCAGGAAACCACTCTGAGGCTGCAGGTTCTAGTGGCTGAGGAAATGCCAGACGGGAAGCTTCAGGTACAGTGTGAAGGGTGCCGGGAGACCCACAGACACTTGAGGGCCCTGCAAGAGGTACCCAGTCTGGAGGGCATATGGTCTGTCTAGGAACGGTGCCAGAGGATCACAGAGTAAGGACCTGGGCCAGAGAGCAAGCTGACCATGGAAGTGAGGGGCAGGACTCCCTTTCCACATGAGGACTAGCATGGGAGTGGACACTTGTTGAAAGCTGAGGCCTTGGAGTTTCCGCTGTGATGGATGGTGAGGGAGGGCTTGGCAAATGACCAGGATCACAGAACATACACAGGAACCCACAGCCACGGGAATGACAGGTTAGTGTGCACCTGTGAATCCCTCCATGTCACCTTGTGCCATGGACACCAAGCATGAACCATAAATGCACTGGGCCTCCCAGACACTCGAAAGGCAAGAAATGTGCAGCACAGTCCTCAGTGGCCTTTATTGGTCCGCTAAACAGAGGTGAGAACAGGACGGAGACTGAAGACCTTGACCACTCAGAGGTTAGTTCCTTCAGGCAGGTGATGATGCTTTCTGCCTCGAGCCCCTACACTTAGCAGGCAACCACCACCCATGACCAGTCCCCTTCTAGGAGTAGCTCCTCTAGATGAGGAAGGCCTGGTGAGTCATTTGGGGCTGGTCATCGGGCACTAGGAAGATGGCCAGAGCCTCGTCTGGGGGGCCGAGCCCAGCCACAGCAGCAGCAGCAGTAGGTGGGCCCAGGCTTGTGGCCAATAGCTAGAGCCTTCCTGTGGCTAGTGCCCAGCAGCTTAGTCTCACAGGCATCTCTCTCATCTCGAAGGCGCAGATTCAGCTCCCTAGGGAAGAAGAGTTTGAGACTGAGGAGGTTAAGATCTAGAGGAAGCAGTGAGTTGGGGAGATGGCTCCCCTGAGTCCAGAGGATTACAGAGACTGCAGCATGAAGGCTATGGAGCAGACATTCGGACTTCCAGCAAGATGGGTAGGAGCCAAGAATATCTGGGAACTTGAAACCACTTCTCCACACAGTCTAGGTAGGCCTGACGCACCTCAGCAGCTCCAGCTGCCTTAGGAGGCTGAGTTTCTCTTTCTGCATGTTCCTGGAGACAGCAACCACATCTCTGGGGGGTAGAAGGTTGTGATCCAGATGCAGGATGGGGGGAAGGGACCCTCTACCCTCCCCACGGGCACCTCACCACACCTTTGGGTTTGCTCCTGACGGCCCTGTGCTTCGCCCTCCAGTCGGCTGAGCTGCTCTTGCGCCTGGTCCAGCTGTGCCCGTATGGCCTCATAGGCCCTGCGCAGCTGGCTGTGCTGGGCCTGTACCTCTAGCTGTTCTTCAGTCCGGGCCTGCAGCTGCTGTTCCAGCTGGGGAACGGTGGAACGCTGGCTGGCGAACCACGCCCTCCCTCTCCCCGCCACCCCCCAGTGCCAAGCTGACCCTTCGCGATTCCTAGCCGAGGACCTGGAGGCACAGGGAACCCCCAAAGAAGCTTGAGTCTGTGCGAGGATGCTGCGGGCGTGAACCGATGACTATGGCTTACTTCCCGCTGCCGCAGGCCTGCCCGCTCCAGCTCCTGCTCACGGGTCTGCAGCTCCAGCTCCAGGTGGCCCCTCGGTTCCTCCCGGGGTAGTTTCTGGGATGTACAGCCGCACTAGAGCCTTTGCTCCCGGCTCAGAGGAGGGAGGCGGAGAGGGAAGGGTGGGGAGCCAAGGGGTGGAGAGCGCGGGAAGGGGGCACTTGCGGGGGCAGAGCAGAGTTCCCTGGACTCGGGAGCTGCCCCAAGGTGAGTCCTCTGGGGAGGGGCCAGTTCGGGGAAGGCGGAGCCAGAGAAGCCAGCGAGGCTGGGCGTGGCGTGCGCGGGCCCACCTGGCTCTGCCCGCGGTGCCGCTGCTCCCCCAGCTGCTGCTCCAGCTCTTCGTAAAGTCCGCGCACCTCCCTCTCGTGCTCACTCTCCCGCCTTCGAGGAACCGGGACACCACAGGCAATGAGCATTTGCCAGCTTCGTCTCTCGCCCCTCGGGAGACCCCAAACCTCGCCAGGCCGGCCCTCACCGCCGCAGCGCCTGCTCCAAACCATCGCGCTCCCGGGCCGCCGCCTCCAGGCAGGCCGACGCGCGCACCAGGACTTCCTCCAGAGAGCCCAACAGCTCGGGTCGCTCGCGCTGTAGCCTGACCCAGAGTGTCCTCACAGCCCATTGCCTAGGGGGTGCGAATGGAGACTGGAGCTGGCAGGTGCCGGGGTGGGGGGGACGACGAGGGTGTCCCCTTTGCAGACGGTGAACCCCTGGAGAACCCAGCAGCCCGGAATTGGCAGCACGTCGGCCGGCCGCGCACGGCTCATCCCTATGGGATGTGCTCTCAGGCCTGCTTAGCCTCTAGAGTGCAAGGTGGCCTGTGTACCAAGAGCGATGCCCATGGGTGACTAGGTGTCTGGTGGCGCCCCGCCCCGCAGAGATCTGGCCTCCTGAAATGCAAATCCTGAGGGAAATCACGCCGGGCCGCTCTCCCAGACAGCCACAACTGACAAAGGATGGACTGGGGCGGCCTAGGGATTCTGTGGCAACAGACAGGCGGGCAAGGTGGACAGAACATGCCGAGGAGAGGGAAGAAGCACGGAAAGGGGGTGGGCCCAGCATCAACTCACTCGCCCAGGACCCGGGCCACTCCCAGCTTCTCTAAGGAAGTGCAGAATGTCTCAACATCGTCGTCCTCCTCCAGGGAGCCCCCTGTGCTTGACTCAAAGGTTTCCTCAGGAGTCCTCAAGGAGGACCCACCTTGGGCCGACTCCACCCCCACAAACTTCCCTGCAGACATGCGAGGAGAGATGACCAGGACTGCGGGTTAACCCTGGACCTGCCCAACTCCCCCGGCCACACACAACATATCCTGCCCTCTCTCAGGGCCCAGTTTCCTGTTTTTCTTCCTTGTTCTAGTTCTATTGGCCTGGGAATGGGAAATGACAGCCAGCTCCCCGGCCCCACCTGGGTTGGCAGAGGAGAAGGGATTGGGGGAGGGCAGATCATACACTGCAGAGTGGCCGGGGTGACAGAGCAGCTCATAGGGTGACTCTTTGTAGACACTGGAATGCTTGGGTAGTTGTGAAAGGCACAGGCTGTGTAGAGTCTCACAGGGGCCTGAATAGGGTCTCCAGGCGACTGGGGCCTGCTCACCCAGGCCTAGGCAGAACTCCCGGGCTGTGAGGAAGCCAGTGTGGGCCTGATCCAGACTTTCAAATACAGCCTCCAGCTGCTCAGGCGTAAGGGGAAGATCACTCTGTAGGCCCTAGCCAGGCAAGAAAGACCAAGGTGAGCAGCCTAGGTCGGCCTTGGGCCTGGCAGCCTCTTGGAACTGTGGCTCACCTGCAAGTCCTGCCTAGTGATGAAGCCCTTAGCATCCTTGTCGCACAGTAGAAAGAGCTCCTGGGCCTGCTGCAGCACCTCTGCTCGATGATGATGCCCTGCCGCCGCGGCTGAGACTCCCTTTGTCTCCTCTTCCTCCTGGCCCTCCCCGGGCCCAGGCTGCCCAGGGCTGGCCATAGGAGCAGATCTTGACTCTAGTAGGTGCTGTGAAGCCAAGGGAAGGTCAGAAGAAATGGGAGGAGGGATGAAGGTGTGTCAGAGGGTGCAGACAGAGAGAGCGCGTGGGACCTCCTTGTACCAGGTAGGAAAGTGAACAGAAGGCAGGCATTGGGACGGGTGGATGAAGCAGGCTCGGCACCAGAGGTGCTGCCCAGGACCAGTTATCTCAGGAAGCTGAGATTCTGGGAAAAGCCTGGATCCCAGGAAAGAGACAGTTCGAGAAAGTGAGGGTGAGCCAGATGTGGTGGCATATCCTTTTTTGTTCTGGAGACAGGGTTTCTCTGTGTAACAGTCCTGGCTGTCCTGAGGTGGCACAGGGGTGGCATACACTTTTAATCCTAGCACTCTTACGGCAAAGTTAGGCAGATATCTGTGGGTTCAGGGCCAGGCTGCTCTACATAGTAAGTTCCAAGATATCCAAAGCTACATAGTGAGATCCTACCTCAGAGAGAGAGAGAGAGAGAGAGAGAGAGAGAGAGAGAGAGAGAGAGAGAGAGAGAGACCAGGCATAGTGGCTCATGCCTTTAGTCCCAGCACTTGGGAGGCAGAGGCGGACAGATCTCTGTGAGTTCGAGGACAGCCTGGTTTACAGAGCGAGTTCCAGGACAGCCAGAACTGTTACACAGAGAAACCCTGTCTCTAAAAACAAAACAAGAAGAAAGTGAGAGTGTGAACTTACTACAGAAGACTGTAAAAACAGGAGGCCAACTCTTGGCAGCCAGGAGAGAGATTGTGTAGTGAAAGAGGGCCAGAGGGTGAAGAACCTGCCACATCCTGGCCTTGAGAGATCCCAAGCTGGGACTGCCTAAGGAAGAGGGCTGAATCACTTTTGACCAAGTCCTTAGCCTCAGGCCTGAGCCTGTGATACCCTGGCCTTCTGACAGCTGGCAAGCAGAGAGTCAACTCCATCAGCCCCTCCCATCTGCCAATAAGGCCTTAAGGGTGCAGGTGCAAGGCCCCAGCCCTGGGCACTGGACAGCTTTTGTAAGAAACGCCTCCACATCTTGGTTTAAGACAGCCTCTGGTCTTTCTCTCTTCCCCCGGGGCCTCCCTCTCACCTCCTGGAATGAACATTCCACCTCTACTCAGAGCCACCTGTCTGTCCCACAGTGTACTAACCCCAGGTTTCCCAAAGCTACAGCCCAGTGACACCAACCCAGACCGGCTATCTCCCTTTTCAGTCCTTAGGGATATCTTCCCCCGACCCATATTCCAGGAAGAGAGGAACGATAATCCAACAAGCAAACACGAGGAAGCAGCATGTCAGGGCAACCTGGAGTCATTGCCCCCTTGACGGCTACCCTCACTGCAACCAGACACGGTCACCAACCGCTCCCGGGCTCCACAGGACCGGAGGTCCATCCCAGCCGGAAGCTGAGCTGCAGCCAGGCTCCAGGGAGTCCGGAGGAAGGGCAGCGGGTGGGCCCACAGGCAAACCTCATCCACGCACGTCTAGGCTAGCTGCGGCGCGCCTCGGGAACACAGCCGTCCCAGACAGACGCGTGCGGTCGCCGGTCCACACAGAGGTCCGAAGGTGCGACCACCGGGGGCTGGGAGCCCAGGGTTGGGGGTAGGGAAGCCCGGCAGGTGCGGCGCTGGGACCCCAGCCGCGGGATCTGCGAACCAATGCCTACCTGCGAGCCGCGCCGCCGCACCTGCCGCAGACCGGCCGCTCCTCCCGGAAACGAGCGGGGAGCCCCGCCCTGCCCGGACCCCGACAGCCTGCGAGGGGTGCGGACCCACAGCGACCTTGCGGCCTAACAGTCCCGGAGACCCCGGAATAGCACGTCCGGGTGGATCCACCAGAGCGCTGCTGTTGCTTTGTCCCGCCTCTCCAATCTTGGTGGCCCGACCCAGGGTGGCTAGCTCTCCCGGGAGAGCCACAGGGGGCACCAATGTTGACGTAGTGTCCCTCACCCCCACCCCCAAGACCCTTCCAGGGCAGGATCAAGGCCGCGGAGGTGCAGATACCAGCCCCCACCCCGCCCGCCCGGAATATCCAGACTTAGGGTGCCAAGAAGTGTGTGTAGGAAAATGCCGAGCAGGAAATAGACCAAATACTTTCAGTGGCTGTATCCGTGGCTGGGGAGACTAGACTTTCTTCTCTATACTTTTTCAGTTTGGCGTCTTCTAAGTTTTAATGCTAACGGATGACGTGTAAGCTAGCTAACTCCTATGTGAGTTAAGTGAGTGTGGGGACACAGTTGAGACCACCTCAGCAGTCTGCTCCCAGCACTCCTTTCGGGGCACAGTCCTGATTAGGGTTCCCCTAGGCCTAGAAGAACTCAAGGAGATGGTGCCAAAGTCCTACTTAGGAGGAAACCCATCCACTTCCAAGGGTATGCCCCCCCATCCAGCCCCTAAACTGACCTGAAAAGCTGGCCTGGGTGTCACAGGCTGCAGAGGCGCTGGGGGGCCCTGTGCTTCTCAAGGAGAACCACAACAGGCTGGCCCTATACGACAGGACCTGGAGACAAGAGGAGGGGCGGCCCCTGGCACCTAGGCCGGGACCTGCCTGGCCGGCTCGCCCAGTCCTGCTGTCCCAGGTCCCATAACCAGACCAACCGTTATTGTTGGCTAGGGGCTGCAACCGCAGCCACTCTGCGCCTTTTGGGAGGGGCGAGTGGGTGCTGAGCACGGAGGACTAAGCCAAGTCCTACAGAGTGACAGACAGCTAAGCTCATCCCTCACTCACAGTTCTCCTTCCTCCAGGACTACACACACACACACACACACACACACACACACACACACACACACATTCTAGCAGAAGATTCTTTCAGGAAACAGTGGTGAACTGCTCCCTTGAGTTAGGACCTCACTACCTTGCCTCAGTATTCCAGGCCACTGCCAAGGTCCTGGGAGGAAACAGGTATAGTCACAGTACAGAAAAGGGACATGCGGACATGTTCCTGGCAATGAGGAGTGTGACAACCAAGAAAGAAGAGCCAAGCACAAAGTTCTGAGCAAGACGCCCAGTGTGGGCCAGGGACTGAGCTTCCCTGGTCCCCAGGCCTCAGTTCCAGAAGCTTCAGCCTTCACAGGGATCCAGCCCTGAAGTCAGCCCTGATCCACACCCTCACTGTGTCACCATGTGGAGCGGATGTGTGGGTGACACCTTTTGTAAACATTTTCCCCCTAGTGCTTGAGATGGAATCCGAGCCTGGTGCATGCTGGACAAATGCTCAACCACTGGGCTACTCCAAGCCAACATTTTAGTTTTTATTATACTAAGGTCTTAGTCCTAAACATATCAGCTGGTGCTTGAAACTCTGCCCAAGAGACATGTCAGCAGGCCTCGGGCAAACGGAGCAGCAGACGGAAGTCCTTGCCAGGGGGCTGACCCTGGGAGAGGGTCCCCAGCTGCCAGGTCTCAACGCAACTCTGTGAGGCCCAACTGTTAGCTCTTGAGACGCTGGCCGTCTGAGAAATGGCTCTGTCCACTGACCTCCGTCAGAGGCAAGAGTAATATGCAGAAGTGAGGAAGGCAGAAGCTGAGCTGTGGCTTTTATTGTAGCTACTTTGGCAAAAATAAATAAGTCTTCACACACTCTGCAAGGAAACTCGAAAAACGGGGAGAAGCAGCAGCTGTGGAGTTCTCAGGACTGACCCTGCACGGAGAAGGTGGTGGGCGGGAGGGGAGGGGGGAGTAAGGCACAGGTGAAGGGGAGGGGCTCCGTGGGCTCCGGGGAGCTCACTCCTATCCCTCCCCACCAGGAGCCGCATAGTGAGTGGCTGGTCAAAACCCCCTTTGCAGCTGTGCAGGGTCCCATGTCCTCACCCCACAGCCCCAGGGTCCCCTTAGTGGGGCGGGGCAACTTGGAGCTTGGCTGGTAGCCGAGGGAACTGGGAATGATGGCTCTCAGCAAGGTGGGAGGCCAGGTGGATGCTGTGGAGGGACGGGGTCTGCGGGGGCAGGGCTGGCAGGTGTGCGCATGCGCAAGGCATCCGGCGGGAAGGCCACATTGGTGCAGAAGAGGCCCAGCAGCAGCTGACGCTGGCACTCCTCCCACTTGGCCAGCGCGTCCCCCAGTGAGAGGTTGTTTCGGACCCAGTTGGGCAGTGCCTCGCTGTAGGTGGCGCAAGACAGTGGCACAGAGGGCAGAGACTGGGCCCGACGCAGCTCCACCTGCTCAGACAGTCTGCGGGCGAAGAGACATGGAGGAAAAGAAGGCTTAGTGGAGGTCTGAGGTCCCAGGCCCCAGGTCCCAGGTGGGCGGTCATGGCAGCTCACCTGGAGGGCAGATGGTCACCCAATTTCCTCTTGGCCCTCATCACCAGATACTGGCAGATGCTGCCTGTCTGCTCTTTCATCCACCGGATATCCTCAGGAACATCAGGCAGCCACTCCAACAAGCTGGGAAGGGAGCACCACGTGTGACCCCAGAAACAAGTTGGGCTCTGAGGTTCACCTGCCAGAGACTGAGCACCTACCCTCCCCAAATCTCCCAAGCAGCTCATGGCTCATGGATGATCCTAGATTCTGTCCCTGATGTGTGATGTGTTGATGCGTTCTCCCCGGACGCCCCTTCCCACTCTCACCGGATGGTGAAGGACACCGCACTCTCCAGTGGCAGAGTATAGGGCACCATCATGGCAGTCGCCAGGCGCACGGGCAGCATGTTGGAGAGGGTGGTCATCAGGTCCTTCGGCTCCACACAGGCCTCCAGCAGGGCTGCAGGTGGGAAGGTGGTAGCCAGTTAGGGAAGTGGAAGCCTCCCAGACCTCCTGGCCAAGCTTCTGCAGGGGACCCTGCCCCTTCCTCCGCCCTCCTTCCCCCATGGCACACCCTCATTGAGTCTGGCAGGCAGGTGCTCTAGAATTCGATCTTTCCCATGGGGCTGCAATTGGTCCTCCTCTGCAGTCCTCTCCTCAGTCACAGCAGCTCCCTCAGCATCCTTTTCCTGGGGGACGGCTGGGGGCAGCGCCAGCAAGGGGTTGGGCTGGTTCAGTAGGCCTGGGTTGGGGGGGGGGGGATGACAGAGATGCCGTCAGAGTTTATGGCCACTAGGGGGCATTGCAGAACCAGCTTCTCCCAACCCAGGGCTGCCGGCCCACACACCATTCCTCCTAAGAAACCGAAGTCCGTCTCTGTAGCCCTGCTTGCACATCTCTCGGAGAACCTGTGAGAGGAATGTCTACATCAGCCCGGACAGGGGCAGTTAAGTCCCTGTAACAGCCACTTCCACCAACAGCTGTCCTGGCCGGAAGTGCCGTAACCCTTGGCAAGCATGTACAAGTCCCAGTGCTGTCCCGGCGCTCAGAAGTCCCCGGCAGCTCTCTCCCTGGTGCTTAGACAGGACTAGCTGTGCTGGCTCACCATGGGCTCTGGTGGGAAGAGAGCCTTTGAGAGGCGGTAGAGATTGCGCAGGTTGAACTGGATGCTGGTGTTGGTGACACGAAGCTCATGGATATTGGTGGAGCTGTCCTGTGGGCAG